AGAAAGAAAGAAAGAAAGAAAGAAAAAGAAAGAAAGAGAGAGAGAAAGAAAGAAAGAATTATAGAAAGAAAGGCCTCTACAGGAACTATGTGACTAGAGTAGAAAGATCAACTAGATAAACCAAAGGAAAAGAGAGGATAAAGGGAACAGAGAGCCTGTTCAAGGTGAAATTAATGAGAACTTCCCAAGCCTGGGGAAGAACCAGAGTGAAAATAGAGGAAGCTAATATAACACCTAATCATATCAGTGTAAAAAGATCTTCTTGTATTCAAACTCAAATATTAATGACAAAGAATTATCAGGGCAAAGATAGAAAAAAAAAAAGACTATAACCATCAAAAGAAACCCTGTTAGATTACCATCAGCTTTCTCAAGAGAAATTTTACAACATAGGAGAGAATTGAAGGAAATATTCAAAATATTTAGAGAGGAATCATCAGCCAAGGTTAATATATATCCAGCAATATCCTTTACATATGAAGGAGAAATAAATGGTTTCCCAGACAAACAAAAGCTGAAAGAATTTGCCACCATGACACCTCCATTGCAAGTAATGTTGAAAGGAGCTCTTTTACCAGAAAAAGAAACTAAATTATACAAAACTGAGTAAGTTGGTTAATAGAAGACAGAAGAAGGAAACTGTGCAGCTACTTTAGAATAGATTATTAAACAACTAGTGACCTGGTGCATGGATTCGTGCACATTGAAAAGAAATTAATTAGAAGGTGGCTGGCGGGGTGAGACTGGGTGAGTCAGGCTGGATACTCCCTGGAGCCAACCTCCCAAGGTCCCAACCCAGGATCCGTGGAGTGAGCGGGGTCCCTCCAGCAGGTGTGTGTGTGGGGGGGTGGGGGGGGGCGTTCCTCAGCCTGGCCTGTAGGAATCAGGCTGAAACTGGCTCTCTGACATCCCCTGAGGGTTCCCGGAGTGCAAGAGGGCACTCTGCAAAGTTGCTGTCGTACAGGGTGTGGAACGCAAATGCAAGTGTGCAGTAAACCATATTCGGGGCTGACAGTGCCACAACAACAACATAACTCACAGCCAAAGGTGGAATCGCACAGCCCCGTGAGGAATCAGGCTCCCTCCTCTCTGGTTTCGGGGTATGTCACCTGAGAACTGCTGCTGTCAAGTCACTGCAGCTTGGCAGCTCCTGCATTGAGCATCTGCCACCTGGTGGTCAGTGCATGTCATAACGACTGGTCAGATGGTCAGACACTTAGCATATTAGCCATAGATAGATAGATAGATAGATAGATAGATAGATGATAGATAGATAGATTATAACATAAAATTTAAGGTGGAGAAAAGGAATTAAAATAATTATAAGTATTGCATAAAAATCATAAAAACAGATGTGGAGAGGATGGAATGGGTACATATGAATGGAGATAAGAGGGATAAGAGGCAATCAGAAGAAAAAGGACAGTTGTATGTGTGAGACATTTTATGCAAACCTCATGGTAACCATAAAACAAAAATTAAGAGCTGAGAAGCAAAACATGAAAAAAGAGGAAAAGAAGAAAAAGTCACAGAAAACTGCCAAACTAAAATAGCACACGAGTGTTGGGGGAAAACCAGTGGAGATACATAGCACAGCAACCAGAAAATGAAAGATAAAATGACTGTAATTAAGTCCTCATATATCAATTATCATGCTACATGGACAGAATTCACCAATCAAAAAACACAGAATAGTGGGGCTAGATTAAAAAAGTAAGACACAACTATATAAACCTGTAGGAGACTCATCTGAACTCCAAAGACAAACATTTGCTTAAGGAAAAAAAAAAAAAAAAGAAATGATACTTCAAGCAAATGCCTCCAAAGAAAAGTGGGTGTAACAGTACTCACATCTGACAAAATAGATTTCAAGCTAAGAAAGATAATAAGATACAAAGATTGACATTTTATAATGATAATGGAACAAATCATCAACTTCATATATATATGCACCCACTTGGGAGCATCACAATGTATAAAGCAATTACTAACAGACTTAAAGGGAGAAACTGACAAAAATACAACTATAGTAGGGGTCTGAATACCTCATTGACAGCAAGGGATAGATCATCCAAACAGAAAAATCAATGAGGAAATATTAGCTTTAAATGATGCATTAGACAAATATCGACTTAATTTATATTAGACAAACTTTCTACCCAAAGCAATAGAATACACATTATTTTCAATGCATATGGAACATTCTCAAGAAGAGACCATATGTTGGGCACAAACTAGTATCAATAAATAAAAGAAGATTGAAATCACACCAAGTGTATTTTCTGATCATAATGGTATAACACTAGAAATTAACTATAAGAATAATGCTGGAAAACCACAAATATATGGAGATGAAACAACATGCTACTGAACAACTATTGGGTCAAAGAAAAAAAAGAGATCTAAAAATACATAAAGACACAGGAAAATGAATGTCTGACATGCCAATATTTTGGGGATGCTGCAAAGACAATATTAAGAGAGAAGTTTATGGCATTAAAGGCCTACCGCGGTATATATAATAGGATACTACTTAACCATAAGAAAGAATGAAATGCATCCATTTGTACAAGAAGAGTGAACCTAGAAAATATTGTGCTAAGTGAAATAAGTCAGACACAAAGAATAAGAACCATATGGTTTCACTCATATGTGGAATATAAAACAGAAAGCAACAGACTCATAAACACAGACAACATAAGGGTTATTACCAGAGGGGAAGAGGGTTGGGAGGAGGATGAAGGAAGCAAAAGGGGTCAAATATATGCTGATAGAAGGAGACCAGACTCTGGGTGGTGAGCATACAATACAATATTCAGATGATGTATTATAGAATTGTACACTTAAAATGTACATAATTGTTATTAATGTCATCCCAATTAATATAATTCTTAAAAGTCTTAAAGATCAGAGGTTGGCAGAAGAAATAAACAGGTGGAACATAGAGGATTTTTAGGGCAGTGAATATACTCTGT